TGAATAGACGTACTTAGGGTTAGGAGATGAGAGAAAGATTCCAAGTGAAAGAACAATGATGAGTGTTTGAGTAGCTTGAAAGAACAAAATAAAAAACAATAACAATAAAAAAATAAATAGAATCATTAAAAATTAAATCTCTATAACAATAACAACAAAAACAACTACAAGAAAAACAACAAAAAATCTAAATCAATAGAATTAGTAAACATTAAATTTCAGCAACAACAAAAACAACAACAACAGTAACAATAACAACAACAACAACAACAAAAAATTCAATAGGATCATTAAACACTAAATCTCAACAATAACCAAAACAAAATCAATAGAATCATTAAATATGAAACTTTAACAACAACATTAAACATTTTACCTGACATAACAACAACAAACATTACTAAGTTAATGGAAGAAATGAGTGTTTTCGAGTTTGTTTATGAAGAAATGATGTTTTTGAGGTTGTTTTGTTAGAGAAATATAGTTTTGTTAATGTAAGATGAAGTTTGGAGGTAAAGTATGAAGTTCGTCTGGGACACCAATGATTTGATTAATGCAAAAGTAAATAAATGTAAAATGTTATATATTTTGGATAAACAAAATTCAGTGAGTTTTCCTCATGGTTGGAATTTTCAAATTTGACAGAAATGTAATTTATTTTTAATTTTAAAATAAAAATAAAGGTGTCACTTTTATTATAAATAAATTAAAAAGTTGCGAGCATTGGGAAACAAATCCATGACTAGTGTTGTTTTCTCCACCGTTGGAATTCACAAAAGTGAGAAAAATATAATTTGTATTTAATTAAAACAATGTACCACTTTTATTATAGACTTAAATGCACTTTTAGTCTCTTTATTTTGATATTTTTAAGCTTTTAGTCTCCTTATTTCAAAACTCACATTTTTAGTCTCTCAATTTTATATCTCTTGAAATTTTCTTAGTCTCCTTCACTTTTGCATATGTGGCCTCCTCATTAATGACTTGACACTTCAACATTAAAACCATGTCAAATTTTATGTTTTAAAACTAAAAATGGAATAACCAGATTTTTATTATTATAAGTAAACATTCATTTGAAAAATTCATAAAATTAAAATCTAATTCTTCTTCTCTACTGTAAAAGAAAAAGAAGAGGTTGTTAACATTAAACAACAAGAATAAGATAAAGTTTCTACTCATGGTTGTTAACATTAAACAATAAAAAAGTAGAGTTGTGTTATATGAACATTTATCCAATTTAATTGCAAACTTCATCTTGCACAAAAATCAAAACATTATATATGTATTATAAATCTATAAAAAGTAAATTACCTGGATTTTCCATAATAAACCTTGTGATTAAAAGCATATTTTTTACTTAATCCAAGGCTAATCCTGTCTAATTACACAATTGCTTAAACCATATGCATTTGGCATTTATGAAATATGTCGTGTAATTTTGTTATTTCCTTTACCTTTTTATCGTGTTCTCCGATTTGGCGATCCATGTTTGTTCTTTATTCTCTAGATTTGTAACTATCTCTTACAATTTTTCATATCATGCTCTATTTATCAAATCTATTAGATCATATTAATTAATTAATTTAGGATTCTTATATTTTTGGACGGATAATTTCTGGTTCTCTGCTTTATTCGGTTGTGCCGAGGGGTTAATCATGTATCAAGATTCGTTACTTTGTTGGACGACAATGTTGTCCTTTATAAAATTACCTGCTGCTAAGGTGAGAGGTTGAGATTTGAAGAGTTTGGTGGCTCAAGTTCACTCTTGATTAATCAAAGTGCTAAATAATATTTATTTTATCTGTTGAACATTATATTTACTTCTTTTTTATTTGCTACCTATTCCATAGAAAAGACATTGATGACGCTAGAAAATGCTTTGAGCCTTCTGAAGTAAAGAAATGTGCTCTTAATGATTTTAATAAAACAATTCAATGGTTGGAAAGTCAAGAAGAAAAGTTTATGATCTTCCATTTTGATAAGAGCCAAAAAAATTGGAACAGAAATGAAAAGATGAATACTGAAATTTATGTAGATAATATTGGATTATTACAACACAGGTTTTCGAGAGCCTGTCTCTCTACAATTCAAATTCTTCCTAATTTTCTGAATGTCTTCTTAATTCTGATTTGCTTCTATTTATACTACATTTACATCTGTTCCTAATTGACACAATTAATTTGAAGGGTTATAATTGTTAGATTTGATGCTGTTTGGTTCCAAGGGTCGCATCCTTTCGGGTGGGTGTGTCTGTTCACCAAGGGTCACGCCCCCTGATTCACATCTCCTGATCTTGCACTCCTTGGGAGTCGCTGCCTGCGGGTGTAAAACTTGGTGATGGGTGGCCTAGGCTTATCAATACCCCCGCCTAAAAGATTCACCTTGTCCTCAAGGTGATAATCTGGAAAGACCTCTTGTAATTTAGCCACAGATTCCCAACTATTTTCACTTGTAGGCAGATTCTGCCACTTAACTAAGACTTCCACGTTGCCAGGTTGTAATTCACGAACATCTAAAACAGAGTCCGGATAAACCTGTAATTCCTGATCCTCAAATAGCATAGGTGGTAAAGGTTGAGATTGGAAAGAATCACCAATGACCTTCTTGAGGAGAGAGACATGAAATACTGGATGAATTTTACTATGAGATGGAAGATCCAATTTGTAAGCAACAACACCCACTTTTTTTAACACCTGGAAATGACCATAAAATCGAGGCGAGAGTTTCTCATTAATCCTTTTAGCCAAGGATTTTCTCCTCTAAGGTTGCATCTTTAAGAACACCCAATCACCGATTTCATATGCTATATCTCGGCGGCGTTTGTTCGCATTTGTGCGCATGACATCTTGGGACTTCAACAAATTCTCTCTTAGAGCCGCCAATAATTCATCTCGAGCAATTGTAAGTTTGTTGACTTCTTCAAGGCGGGAAGGAATGGTGGATCCCTTAAGAATGTGAGGTGGATCATGTCCATACAATGCTTTGAAAGGGGACATTTTGCTTGAAGCATTATAATTGGTATTAAACCAGAATTCTGCCCAGGGAAGACAAGAGACCCATTTCTTAGGCTTAGTACCTGTTAAGCATCGTAAATAAACCTCTAAGCATCGATTGACAACTTCAGTTTGTCCATCCGTTTGAGGATGGTATGCCGAACTGAATTTTAGTTGTGTACCTGCTGCTTTAAAAAGGGCTTTCCAAAAATTACTTAAAAACAAAGGATCGCGGTCTGAAACAATGGAAGACGGAAATCCATGCAATCTTACAACTTCTTGTAGAAAAACTGCAGCAACATCGATAGCGGTGTAAGGATGCTCTAATGGTATGAAGTGTGCATATTTGGTGAGTCGGTCAACCACCACCAGAATTGTATTCTTCCCCATGGATTTGGGTAGTCCTCCAATAAAATCCATCGAAATGTCTGTCGATACTTGAGTAGGAATTGGTAATGGCTGTAGTAGTCCTGCCGGTGACAAGTTGTCGCTTTTGTTTCTTTGACAGACTTCGCAAGCTGCAACGAAATTTTTGATGTCGGTTTTCATCCCTTCCCAATAAACTAGATCGGCTATTCTTTTATAAGTCCTGAAGATTCCTGAGTGTCCTCCTACCAAAGATGAATGAAATTCTTTTAAAATGATGGGAATCCTGGAGGATGATTTTGACAACACCAATTTCTCCTTGTAAAATAGTTTATGATCCCTTAACGTGTAGCCAGCATGAGACATGGGATTGATAATTAGGTCTTGCATGATTTTTTGTAACTTGACATCTTGTTTGATCTCTTCAACCCATTCCTCGAAATCGTGAATTTTTAAGACTGTCATGGCACAATAAGAACTTCTCCTGGATAGGGCATCGGCGGCAGAGTTTTCCTTCCCTGGCTTGTATTGTATTTCAAAATCATATCCTGCTAATTTGGAAATCCATTTGTGTTGTTCCTCACCAATCATCCTCTGCTCTGTCAAGAATTTCAAACTTTTTTGGTCAGTTTTAATAATAAAATGGTTTCCCAACAAGTAGTGTCGCCATTTCTGGACTGCTTTTACGACTGCCATTAATTCGCGATCATACACTGATTTCCTCTGATTCCTTTCTGATAGGGTAGTGCTCCAAAAGGCCAGGGGTCTTCCTTCCTGCATTAGAACAGCCCCTAGTCCGGTTCCGCAAGCATCCGTTTCCACCACAAAAGGCTTTGAAAAATTTGGTACTGCTAATGTAGGCAATTTGGTCATGGCTTGCTTTAGTTGTTCGAACGCAAGTTCTGCCTCTAGACTCCATTCAAGGGCATTTTTCTTCAACAGGTTGGTCAATGGCCTTGCTATTCTTCCATAATCATGAACGAACCTCCTATAATAGCCAGTAAGGCCTAAGAATCCCCTTAAGCTAGTGACATCCATGGGTGAAGGCCATAATGTCATTGCTTCCAACTTCTTAGGATCTGCGGGATACTCCTCCAGCAAAAATAATATGTCCTAGATATTCCAAGTTATCTTGGCCAAATGAGCATTTCTTGCCGTTGATCTTCAATTCATTTTGTTGGAGTAACGTTAATACATTTTGCAGATGTTGCTTGTGTTCTTCCATAGAAGGGTTGTATATTAGGATATCATCGAAGAATACCAAAACGTATTTTCGGAGTACTGGCCTTAATACTTCATTCATTAATGATTGAAAAGACGAAGGTGCGTTAGTAAGTCCAAATGGAAGTACCATAAATTCATAATGACCTTCATGTGTTCGGAAAGCAGTTTTTGCAATATCCTCTTCCTTCATTCTGATTTGGTGGTATCCGGATCTTAAATCCAGTTTTGAAAAGATGTTGGCCCCTCCTATTTCGTCTAACAACTCTTCAATCACTGGGATGGGAAATTTATCGGGAACTGTGATTTTGTTCAAGGCCCTGTAATCTACACAAAACCGCCAACTACCATCTTTCTTTCTGACTAGGATGACAAGACTAGAATAAGGACTCGTAGATGGTCGGATGATTCATGCTTCTAACATTTCTGCAACCAATTTTTCAATTTCTGTTTTTGATAGTGAGGATATCTGTATGGTATGATATTCGGTATTTGGGCTCCTTCTTTGAGGTGAATGGCATGGTCTTGACGCCGATGAGGAGGAAGTCCATCTGGGGGTTCAAAGATGGAAGGGAAATCATGTAGCACATCTTTTAATTCTGACGGGATTAAATCCTTCCAATCAATCTCTGCTTGAATATGACGATAATCGATAAAGAACCCTTCTCCTTGCTGCAAAGCTTTCAACATAGAATTAAGTGAGGCGTCTTTCTTTGAAAGTTGTGGCTCTCCCTTTAAAATTACCTTTCTTCCATTGATCTTGAAGCCCAACGTCAGCTGTTCAAAGTTGGCACTAATCTCTCCCAGGCTTGCCAACCATTCCATGCCTAAAACCACATCCACGCCTCCAAGGCCAAACAAGAAGAACTGTTGTTGTACTTGTACTTCTTGCACTTTCAAGGGAACCTTTCTGCATACTCCCTTACATTTGATTTTGTGACCATCTCCGACTTCTACAACGTATGATGGAGTGTCTTCCACTTCTAATTGTAATTTTTCCACCAGTTCCTTTGAAATGAAATTGTGGGTGGCACCGCAGTCTATCAATACTATGACTTTGTTATCATCAATACTTCCCCAAACCTTCAAGGATCGGCGAGAAGTAAATCCCACAATACTATTCATGGATAATTGGGGCGTTTCTCCAAATTCGGGTTCGGGCCCCTCTTCAGAGTTTTCAACATCCTCTTCATTTGTTACTAACATTATCCGAAGTTGTTTATTGCTACATACATGAGAAGTGCTCCATTTTTCTTCACAACGAAAACATTCTCCTTTCTTCCTCTTCTCTTGAAGTTCTGCTTCGGTTAACCGTTGAAATCCTCTGGGTCGGTTGTTGTTCTCTGGTTTGTTCACCGATACACTTCCCGCAAAAGAATTAGAAGGGCCATTACTTTTTCCTCCACCTTTCTGACCAACACCATAAGTAATAGTCTTTGAATAGGATGGGCTTCGATACGAGTTGTTAACTTTTGAATTTGAGTTAGAAGGAGCATTCGGTCCCACCTTCCAAATTGCTCTATTTTTTTGTTCGATCATTAATGCCTTCTTGACCATGATTGAAAAAGTGGGTGGTTCGTAGAGTTTAATTTCTGCCCCAATGTCTTCCTTTAATCCGTTCTCAAAAATGTCCTTTAAATGTTCTTCATCGATAGTTTTCAGCATACCTGCAAACTTTTCGAATTGTTCAACGTACTCTTCCACCGTTTCTTCTTGTTTAAGTGCAAGGAGGGCAGCAAAAGGGTTGAGAGTGGCTGAAGTTTGGAACCTTTCAAGAATGGCAAGTTTGAAATCTTCCCATCCAATATCAGAATTGCAATTTTCCCACCATTGGAACCAAGATAGTGCCTTTCCCTCTAGAGCCACCATAACTGCCTGAATTTTCTCTTCTTCTAGGATGTCTCTCATTTGAAAGAAGCGTTCCAATTTATTTATCCAGCCATAAGCATCGGATTCTCCATCATATATGGGGATTGCCAATTTTCTCCATCGTTCTGTTTTTCTTTCTCCGGTGTGGCCCTTGGTTGAACGTTCTCCATTGATGGAACCTTTGGGTGTGCCATCTTCTGAATGCTTGGACAAATTTTCCACCATGGCTTCTAGACGTGCAAAGCGTGTTTCGAATTGTTGTCGTTCTACCTCTCGGTTTTGTCGGTCCGCCGTCAACATTTCTAAAATTCTCTCCATTGTGTTTGGGTTTTCGGGATTAGATCGAGTTGTCACCATTGTTGGAAGCAAAGCACCTGGACGGTGCTCTGATACCAATTGATAAGAGCCAAAATAATTGGAACAGAAATGAAAAGATGAATACTGAAATTTATGTAGATAATATTGGATTATTACAACACAGGTTTTCGAGAGCCTGTCTCTCCTTAATTCAAATTCTTCCTAATTTTCTGAATGTCTTCCTAATTCTGATTTGCTTCTATTTATACTACATTTACATCTATTCCTAATTGACACAATTAATTTGAAGGGTTATAATTGTTAGATTTGATGTTGTTTGGTTCCAAGGGTCGCATCCTTTCGGGTGGGTGTGTCTGTTCACCAAGGGTCACGCCCCCTGATTCGCATCTCCTGATCCTGCACTCCTTGGGAGTCGCTGCCTGCGGGTGTAAAACTTGGTGATGGGTGGCCTAGGCTTATCACATTTCATGTATGTTATGTTCCTATCAAATATAGTTTATATAAGTATGTTGTTTTGACAAGGGCTTATATAAGTGTCTTTATCTATATGTTTATGCATGTATTTACTTGCTAGACATTTGATGTTGTTGATGAGAAGCAAGCTAGACAAACCAATTCTTCAAGCCCATTGGGGGAGCTGTTTGATCATGGATATTTTCCTCATCATTTTTTATTGTATTGTTTTTCATCATGTATCCACTTTGATGTCATTAATGAAGATATTTTCAACTGGATTGCAGGGTGTGATGCACTTGCTTGGATAGTACAATTCATTCATGGCGTGGGATTATAATCGATTAGTACAATTAAAAGCGTGGGAAATATAAAGACTTGGAACCTTAATAATCACTTTGAAAATGTAATTCACATAAATTCCCATATAACTCATATATTGCAACATTTGAAATAATATTTGGTTCTGCATATTTCAATTGAAATATTTTCGATCCAACTTTCAATGCGCTATTATTCACCACAATTACTCCCACACTTAATACCATTTAATCTGTCAATCATTTCTCAAGTGCTTAATCTTCAGTTAGATAAATACTAAGAAGAGAGAAGAAGAGATTGAACTTGGGTTATAAATACTAAGAGTAACTCCAACGGGAGTAATTCAAATTGTCCTCCAGCCTCACAAACAACAATTTCAATTCAAGTGCCGTTGGAGTTGACTACAATGGAATATTGTGCAAGTGCATTCTAACGGTCCTTCAAATAAAATATTAATTAAAAAATAGTTATTTTTTTTTTCAACGGCTAGCTTCATTTTTTTTAGAACTTTAGCTTATTATAAATGCCTCTATTTGAAAATTTTTACACAAAATTTCTCTCATTTTTTTATTTGCTCATAAATTTTGAATTTCTTTCTCACAATTTCATCACTTTGCTCTTCATTTTTAATTTTTTTCTCTTACAATTTATTCTCATTAGCCTTCATTTGACAATATATTTTACCCAAATTTTTACCTTTTTACTTCAAAATTAATATTGTTTAGGCCAAATGGATCCTAATCAATTTAATTATCAACAATCTATGTTCAATTTCATGCAAAATTTTCAAAATCCTAATCCTCAAAATTCTCAATTCCCATCGATGCCAACAAACTCCGCCGCTTTTTTTCCGTCATCAACCAAAAACACTCCGCCACATTTTTTCCGTCACCAAACTCCACCATATGGTCAACCATCTATGGAATTTTTTCGTCATGAACCGGAAACACCGATTGTGTCTATGTCCGAAAGTCAAGTTCCACCATTTTCAACTCAAGTCGGTATTGAAAAAGAAGAAAGTCACCTTGTTAAAAAAAACTCGAGAGGTATTTTCAAGGGATGAAGATATACTTCTTATCCAATCATGGCTCAATGTTTCAAAGGATTCAATTGTGGGAGTTGATCAAAAAGCTGAGAGTTTTTGGTTAATAATCACTACCAATTATAACGAGTATCGTGGACAATCGCGGGAAAAGCTACGTGGGCAATTAAAATCTCGATGGCATCGAATAAATGGCTTGGTTCAAGAATTTATTGGGTGTTACAAACAAGCTGTTAATGGAAAGAAAAGTGGGACTTTGGAGAAAGATTTCTTAGCTGCTGCATATGCATTTTTTGCTCAAGATGAAGGTACACCATTCAATCTTGAGTACGCATGGCGATTGTTAAAGGATGAACCTAAATGGATGGGAGCATCGACCAAAAATTCTTCAAAAAGAACAAAGAATTCTGCTAGTGGGGCACACTCATCATCGTCTAACCTCGCGACACCTTTAAGTTATGAGTTTAACTCATCATCACCAATGGAGCGTCCAATGGGACAACAAGCAGCAAAAAGAAAGAGTAAGGTAAAGGAAAATGCATCTGAATCACCTTCTAATATTGTGCAAGAAACATGGAATAAAAGAGTAGCGGCAATGGAAAGACTAGATCAATGTAAGGAGGACGGGATGTAGTATAAGGCAATGCAATTACTCTCGAAAGACACTTCTATGATGAATGATAGTCAACGAGATATTCATGAAAAATATTGTAATAAGTTGGAAAAAAATATGGATTTTAGTTATGATGAAAAGATGTAGTACTTATTATGTATCAACACCTATGTAAAATGGTCATTAGTACCAATTTAATTTATAATAAATATTATGTTGTTATTCAAACTAGCCGTTATTCAAACTAGCCGTTATTCATATATCACTATATAAATGACCACTCTTCTCATTATTTTCTCATTCTTCTCTCAATCTTCTCCCATTCTTATCTCTTTTTTCTCTCATTCTTCTTTCATTCTTCTTTCATTCTTCACTCACTTTAATGGATTCAGACAGTTCAGATGATCTCTTTTGGGACTTGATTGAAGAAGAATTTATGGACAACACTGATGAAGAACTACTAAAGTCAATGCTCAAGAAGGAACATCAATCTGGAAGTTCCTCTAGGCCAAAGAGAAGAACAGTGATAGATCGAAATCGTGAAGAAGGGCACAATCGTTTATTCAATGACTACTTCTCGGAAAATCCAGTATACACAGATGTTCAATTTCGAAGAAGGTTTAGAATGCATAGGCATGTGTTTCTTCGAATTGTAGTCGCCCTTTTTTGATTTTTTTATTTAATAAAAAATGATTTTTGTTTTGTAAAAATAATTAAACAAATAGTTAAAACAAAAGAAATTAAAAATAGAAATAAATTGGGATTGTTACTGTTGTTAGCAATCTGGGGGTGTGAAGCTGAATTGTTAGGCCCAAGTTATGTTGGCCCAGTTGCCTGCTTGTGGATTCAGTGTAGCTGGTCTTCAGGAGGTCCACCATGTGATTGCTTCCTGGAGACGTGAGATCTGGCCAGGACATGATCTGATGGTGTGGATCTTGGGTGCATGATAGGCGCTTGGTTGTGAGGCGCATCTGCAGTTAAACATTGAGAAAAACATTATGTAGGAGGCAGGGATCGAACCCCTTACCTCTTACACACGCGCGTCCTGAAGCTCTTCCTGTTTGCCATTGGGCCAATTGACCTTTTGATAATAACAATGAACAAAACATAATATATTTAATAATTGGAAGTTATCATAACAAAATGTGCGCGTTATTTAAACCAGCTAGCCAGCCCTTGCCACGCACTCATCTTCCCCAATGGCTATCGTTTTAGGTATCAGCTTTTACCTACGGACTGCATCCGTCGCTAAAAGACCTGCAAATCTCCAAAATTCACACCAAGCAATATAAATGCAATTAAAGCCATGGATCAACTGAGTTTGATCCCCTGAGCATGATGGCATGCGTCATTAAGTCTAATTTTCCCTGCATCTCAAAGCCCTAAAACGGAGGTTAAAACGCTAACAATGGTAATTTGGCATCTATGCATCAAAACTGGAAATTAAGTATTCAAATATATTCCAAATGCTCATACAAAAAATAATGCGTAATCAAAACCTATCTCTAATGTATGTATAATCAAAATCAAATTCAAAATGTGAAGGGCAAACCGTGATGATACAAATGACGATTCTGGATGTTGTGACGCGTGCAAATGATGTTGTTAGCTTCAGGTGATTTCCAGGAATGGATTGATGGCCTTGGAACACTTTGAATCGTCCTATATAATGAAATCCAGTTCTCACTTTTTGTCCAAAAATTGAGTTTTTGTTCTTGCAGACCAACCCTTGTTTTTCTGCCTTGGGAATGTTATGTGCTTATATTGAAATGCATTATGTTAAAAAAAACTGATCATATCTTTGCAAATTATGGAGATTTGATTAGATTTTGTTCCTTGCATTATTTGTTTCTAAAACAAGTCAAATCATGATCTTTTCCAATCAATTAGCTTTTTCACGAATTTTCTGATTTTCTAGCTGTTCATTGACTCATAATATGCTCATAAAATCAAATCTTGGATTTTATTTCATTATTCTACTATTTAAATTGATTTATTTTGATTTAAATGGATAAAAAAAATAAAAATAAAAAATAAAAAAATAAAATAATAGGAGGATAATATCATGTGTCGCGGGCCATCTTAGAAACAAGTTTCAAATAAGAAAACATGGGCCCATTTGGAAAAAAGGTCATTTTGATCAATGTTGACTTCATGCACATTTCCAAAAATTGGTTAACTTTGAAAATATATATCTCCCTCAATTTTAACCCTAAAAAAGGTGTTATTTGACTTTTTAGAAATCTTAGGATGTCTACTAAGCAACCTCTTTGGTTTCATCTCAATTGGATCTTCCATGTTCATGTAAGGAGCCTTGACCCAAAATGTGTTTTTGTTGACTTTTTGAAATGACCTATAATGTATGAATTCACATCTTTTCATGAGCGCATTTTTTGAACTTAAGGGATGAATATGAGTTGTAGGGAATTGAATTCTATTCAAAATGATCCCTGGATGAGAAATTTCTTATAAAGTATGAGAAAGTTATGTCTGGTCAAAGTTTGGATGACTTTTCCTATAGAAACCCTAATTTAGCAACTTTTGAGTTTTGATGAATTTGGAGAATTCCTTGAGGAATCATGGTCAACCCTTGATAAAATGATCGATATC